CATGCTGAGCACCCCACGCTGCCTCGGCTCAGAGCAAGGCAGGGGCGAGAGCAGGGAGAAGCCTGGGGACTTGCTGGGGACCCACGGAGCCAAGAGCATCGACGGGATGGTCCAGCAGCGGCAGGAGCGGAGCAGCTCCCGTTCCACGAGGTTTGCTGCCCATTTCCCCTCCATCAGGGCCGTAGCAGCCGGGGGGTCCCCATCCCACCCAGCTCTCACAGCAGCCTCTGGAGCCACATGAAGGGCACGAGCGGTGGGTACTGGTTGTGCTGCTGGCCGAAGGGGCTGCTTTAGGGCGGGAAGGTGAATCCAGGGACTTGTGCAGTAACTTCTACTGCTCTAGCAGCCCCCATAAGCTCCGCGCTGCATTTTCAGTTTCACCTCCCTCACGAAACCTTTGCAGAGGAAACTTTGAGATGCTGTCTGCTCTCTGTGGGCTTCCGTGCATCTCTGCTCTCTCTGCCTCCAGGCGCTCTGAGCTCTCTCCTACCTGCAGAGTGCCCGGTCTAGCCGAGACCTTCCCCTGGGAGCATCCGGAGGGGGGGCAGCCCCCGTGGGGAGGGGGCTGCATCCTGCTTCCCCAGCCCCTCTGCTCACCCCCCAGGGGTGATACCCCCGTGCCAGCACTCCCACAGAGCCGGCCCGTGCATCTTTACTAGAAGAAAAGTCCTGGGCAAGTCAGAGTAGTTTGTTCCTGCCTTTCCCCATATGCAGGGATAGGGCCAGGCTGGGAGCAAGGCATACAGAGCACAAGGCAAAACTGCCAGGGAAAATTGCAGCCACGTGGGACCCTGGTGTCCCTCGCAGCCCCAGGGGCACACAGAGTGGGCAAGAGAGGGAGAAGAGGTAGCAGAGTTCAGCAGCCAAGGTGCAGGGAAAGCAATGCGGAAGGATGCCCGGGGATGCCAAGCGGGATGGGCAGCGCGGGAAGAGCATCCCTTCCCAAAGGCTGCTCGTGTGAGAGTCAGAAATGACCCCACAGCCTCAGCAAACCCTCCGCAGACAGCAGGGCAAGCCAATTTCTGTCCTTCTCACATAGTCCTCAAGCCTGGGTCCTGGCAAATTTGGTCTTTCCCACACGTGAGACAGGCTTGTGGCTCCGGCAGAGGGGTGAAACAGCCTTTTTGCAAAGGTCCCCACGTCCCTGGCGACTCCTGCTCTCGGACCTCAGGCATCCTCCTGCAGACCGGGGCAATCCCTGCCCTCCCGACAGCCACACGGCCTGGCCCGAAGTCCCACACAGAGCACCCAGATGTTTAATCGCTGGGAGCACTCGAGCACAATTTTAGAAAAAGCCGCCAACACTTTCCTGCAAGAGCTGCGAGGCCAGGGAATTTGCTTTGTTCCTAATTGACTTGTGCCAGCCCTTTGCTCAAAAACACATTAATGCAAGAGGCAAGAGAGGGTCTGCCTGAGCACAGAGTCACCCCATCCGCAGAACAACTAAACAAATCATTCAGGTTTTGTCCTGCATCCACTGTCACTGCCCATGGCCTTGCAGGTGGTGGAAAACCCTTCCCAAAGGCAGGCTGACACATCCAACACTCCCCAGGAGCTCCTTCCTGCACTTGCATCCTTCAGGGGTGCAGATGCACCTAGGCTCTTCACGAATTTTAGATAAATCTTTTATGCCAGAAGTGGAAGCACGTAAATAGAGAGCAGCAAATGTATTTACCTCTCCTACAGAAATGGACCCTGCCTCCCATTAGCCCTGCTGCAGAAGTGCACAAAGTGCTGGAACAAAAAATGCTCCAGGAAAGGATGCTGAAAGGCAGACAGGGGAGTAGAAATAAAATAGGATAAAATGCAATAGAAATTTACCGTATATGAATCACAGCCCCCTCCCTATTGGAGATAATTGACATTTAAAACAGGAACACAGTGGATCAAAATACATAGCCTTCAACAGAGCAGAGAATATCCATTCAGGTAGCAGAAGGCAGGAATTACTACAAGAATTGCAATGAGTTTAAAGAACCACCTAATGGGGAGATGACATTACCTTACAATGGAAGGATCATTATTGCTCTGGAGAAGGCTATTAATGGAGTTTCTCAAAGATGGGTCTCAATGAATTTTATTTAATGGTTTTCATCAGCGATCCAGGCTCAAAAAAAAAAAAAAAAAGAAAAAAGAAAAAGAGGAGAAGAGGAGTCCTGTATGAAAATATATTGATAAGAAACTTGGGAGAAGTTTTAAACTCCATGAGGCACTAAAAACACTACAGCGGAAGAACTAGAGTGTCTGAAGATTGACAGAAACTAAATGGTTTGGCAGAAGTTCATGCTTTTAGGGATTAACAGCAAAAATTGCTACCTGAAGCTGGGACTCAGCAGTTGAAAACAGCATAGGAGAAACATCCAGCTTTTAGGTAACCTCAGGATAGCTGTAAGGAAAGAAATGCAATCTTAGGATGTGTCAGACAAGTTTTTGTGGCAGAGAGCATCCATCAGAACGCTAGTGCCCCTGCAAAAAGCACTGGAAGGACTTCCTTGAATTGCTGTCCTGTTCTGGACCCACACTAGGGGTGATTTTGACCAGGAGCAAGTCCAGGCAGCAGTGTCGGGGCAGGCAGATGAACACAAAACTTAGGAAATGGGGCTGCAAGGATATGACTTTTTAGACTTCCTAGAATGGCCATCAAGGGAAACAGCTGCTCAACGCATAGGTCAAGGAGGAAACAAGCCCATTCTGCTGAAATACACCGGGAGCCGAAGCCACGCCGCGAGACACGTGGCCATGAGTTAGACGGGCGGAAAACAAGGGGCAGACGTGCGGTCACCAGCACCGCGATGCTCTGTGAGGGGCACGCAGAGCCCCGAGCTTGCTGCGGTTCCCAGGGGATGGCACCACGTCCAGCCCCACGGTCCCTTCTCCCCGGCCAGCCCCTGGCCTCCCTCTCCCACGAGGCCGTGCCCAGGCACGGAGGCTGCGGTCCTCCGGAGGGAGGTTTCCATTCAGGCATTGGGCTGGGGGGCATAGGAGCGTCTGCTCACCCCGTGACACAGGGAGGGTCTCGCTTTTGGAAGAAGACTTGCTTTTTGGCCAGAACGGAGCATGAGACTGCTGCACAGCTTCCCGTGACCACCTGGTCCTGCTCCATCCTGGGCCAGAGCAAACTCCAGAGAGCGTTAAGGAAAAATGAAGTGTCAGAAAAGAAAAAAGAAAGCGCCCATTTCTTGCATTAAGAGCAAAGCAGTAAGAGGCAAATCCATCTCTGTACGGGACTGCAGTGCCAGCCCTGGAGCCTGCCCGAGTTGGGGAAAACGGCACAGCCCGCACTGGGAGATGTAAACACAAGTACATACAAGCAGCTTGAAGCCCAAGGCCCCACACTGGTGTGGAAGAAGGAGGCCGTGCTGGGCTCATCCACCCGCTCTGGGCGCAGGCAGCATAGCAGGGACTCTGTGGTGCCACAGCTACAGGAGAGCAGCAGATCCGCACGATCTGTAGCTGGTGCCGAGGACACCGATGCGGCCAGACCGCTGTGTCCCACCAGCGGCTCTGCAGCCGAGCGCTCAGGACAGCCCACGTGCGCTGCAAGAGCTGGTGGCAGGAGCAGGTTGCTGATGATGCTGAGGCTGCAGTCCGCCCACAGCATTTTCCAAGCGTGCTACTCCCCCTATAATTTACCTTGTCATTTCCAGCACTTTGGGAGCAATGAAAAAAAAATTCCTTTCACTCGGAAATACCCTTCTCTAGGAACAACCTGTTCCGACAGCGGGCAGGCAGCGCTCAGCTTGCTCCTCACTCCTTTTGTAGGCAAACAAAGAGCTCCCTGTGGCAAGAGCCCATGCTGCCACAGGAGGTGAAGAGCCGCTCCGCACGCGCCTGCCGCGGCCGAGGGCATCACATCCATCCCCACACAGGCCGAATCCCAGTGCCCAGACCCCTGTGCAACCACGAGTTTGCCCCCCTTGCCAGACCACCTCCCATGGGCTGGATCATCACTCCTCATTCTTCAACCATTCCCTGGGAAAGAACAGGGCAGCAGGTATCTAATCCACCAGGTCTCAGTAACCAGCAGTTATTTACTCAGGAGTCTCTCGGGTACACTGTCTTGCTTGGCTCACACACCCTCAGCTGGGAGCACAAGTCACCTCGAGCACATTTCACATAGAACTATGTCACCAGCAAAGCAGTGATTTCCTTTCTGGGTTGAAAAGGCAACACCAGGCACAGGCTGCCAAAGGACTGTCCAAAACAAACTTAATAAGGCAAAATTTCACAAGTACTTACTTTTAAAAGTGCACTTGAGCTTTAGAAATTCTCAGGAAAGAGTCTTTTCTTGTTCCCTTTCCAAGGGCCCTTTTAACCAGAAGCCTGTAGGAACTCGATGCCTTTTGACCTCCTGCCTATAAGTTATGTAGTCACCCTCGAGGGCTGGAGGAGGGAGGCTGGCAGCATTCCTGGCTCCTGAAGGACTTTCCATTTCAGGTCTACACGGGCTGGAGCACCTAGCAAGCAGCAAACGCACCCACAGCCAGGAGGGATCCAAGAGGGGCTCTTCAAAGGACCTTCACCCACTGCAGCTCTGACTTGACCTTGTTCTTCCAGGTTATCCTTGGGAGGCAGCAAACCTCTGTTCCAGTTGCAGCTCTGCTAGCGAGGAAGGCACGTAGCCCAGTCTTCTTCTTGACTTTTCCGATGTAAACACACAGAGAGAGCAACACAAGGATGAGACCACACAGGACCTGATCCCACTGTTTTCTCAGAGGAAAAGGCAAAAGAGGGAACAACTGAGAGCCATCAGCAGCTGCAGAGGATCAGGTCCAGCACTAAGCTCCCAGGTGGG